ACTGCCTATATTTATATATAGTTGTGTTTTATGTTGATGTTGATGGGAAAAACATCGATAAAAATATGCCGTCTTTATTTTTTAGATTTTTTTTATTTCCGCATGTAGTTAAGGAAGGCGTCACAATTTAGCTGGTACTGCAATATCGCCTTAAGTCATGTTATCAGCTACAAAAACTTAAATGTTCTTTTTATGTTCTGCTACACAATAAAAGGGTTATTTCTCAGATAGTAATGCATATCGATTGTCCCTCGAAGGATTTCAAAGTCACTAATACTAACGCCATGTAGCCACTTTACTTGGACTTCCTGTTGTGCTTTTCAAAACATGCATAATATATAGGCGGAAGGTTGACCTTGCATTGATGATCATTTAACTGTTTTTTTTTTCGTTTTTTTTTTTGGAAGGGGGGGGGGGGGGAGTATGACCAGAGTATGAATATGTCTTGCCATTGATAAATGATAATTCAAATGGTTTTTATTCCTTTTTCCTAGTTATAAAGTCCTTATTACCACATTGTAATTTGAAAAATATTGCCTAGAAAGTGAATTGAAAAAATATTTAAATATACAAATAAGTAAATCATTTAGACGTTAACATATATGCTTTGATAATGCAAATGTGAATGTATACCACACGATGACCAGAAGAAAAAAATCTATAATAGCTCAATTTTTTCTTTTTTTTATTGGCCTTATTATTTTCTGCCAACATATCACAAACCTTGGTTGTTATAAAAGGGTAGACAAGCGAAATCAATATGATCTGAACAGGGTAGAAATGAATGTTGTTGTTAGTTCGTTTGTACATTGTTCTTTGTTGCTATTTTTGGAAACTAACGATGGCATTGTGAGCACAAAATGTTATCTTCGTTCATTACCCTGCTCTATTGTCCATGAAGAAAAAGAAAATTTAATTCAATTCAGGGAAGAAATGAAAATCAGCATCATTGTTATATATTAACAGGCACAGTTGCGTCGGGCAATGTTGTAAAGATTACATAGAGATCATAAATCAAAATTATTGAACTCTGATAAAAACAATGTTTGCTGATGAAGAAATTTTAATACAAAATTGCAAAGAATTGCAGCTACATAAAGGCATTTTTATTAAAAATTGCAAATTTTACAGGTTTTATAAAATTCTGTTTCGAAGGACATCACTCCTCAAAATAAAATAATATGTATTAGAAATATAATACCTTACTTTCAAACAGCTATTTGGTTTTAGTTTAAATGAGGATAGATAAAAAAAAAAATGCCGAATACTGACACACCTGCGTTTTTGTGCAATCTTCAGGCTTGGTATCGTAAAATCTGTTTACGATTAGCCGTATCATTGTAAGGATCTGTAGGAACACTCATGGAGCTCTGATACTGTGATTGTAAGTAAAGGTTTTAAGTTTTTCTCGGAGGAAAACGACTCTACTCCTTTGATTTTAAAGTGAAACATACCTTTTATATGAATACACACATAGGCGTTGAAATAGAAATATGAAGACAAGACACTTTCGCCGGAGGGAGTCTGTTTGACATTTGACACAATCACGGCTGATCGGACTGCAAATGTTTGTCGAATTCATTATTTGGCGTTCAGACAGTTGTCCCATTTGATGTCAAACCTCTGTTCGGACAACACTTACCGATTTGATTCACAAATATTTTATACTGGACGTAAGAAAACAACTTCCAGTTCCTGTTAGCAGCTTACAGTGAGATTGAATTATGTATAATTTATTTACCAATCATCAGATCTTTGGCCGGTCATCTTAGTTAGCAGTACGTCAGTGCGTTGATATAGGTTAAGTGTATGGAATGAATTAAGTGTATATATCCGTCTGACAGGATTGACCTTGACCTAAAATTATGTGGTTCGTTGATCAATATTAAGTTTGGTCTGTTTCTCAGATACTATGAGCAATTAAATACGTCAATTATATTAGGTGTATGGAATGATTGTAAGGTGTGTCTGTCTGGCAGGTATCATCTGACATTGGCCTCATTTTCATAGTCCATTGGTCAAAGTTTGGTTTCGTAGGTAAGTCTGTTTCTCAATTTCTACAGACAGTAGATCATCTGACCTTCATCTCATTTACATGAATCCTTGATAATGTTATGTTGATGTTATACTTGTAGATCATTGATAATGTTATAATTATGTTATACTTGTAGGTTGACCTTTATCTGAAGGACTGTCATCATAAAATGAATTAAAATCAGAAAAGCAGGCGAAACATTTCAGCGTGTGCACTATTGTTGGATATTTACTAACATTGCACCCAAAATCTGTCAAAATAACAATTCTGATCCTTTTTAGACATAAATAATATTTGGCTATACGATCAGAAATACACGAAAATGTTGTTAAAACCTTTAAGTGTAGATGTGAATGTACGATACTAAGAATTTTTGTAAAGATTGACAGTCTTTTAAAAAATGGTCTTGATGTGAAATAATTCAGGTGAATATTGCCCTACCTCTTTCATAAAAGTCTGTCGGGTCACTAAGCTTTCTGTCTTTTACTTTAAAACAACGCTTATAGACCTGAACACATGTCAAAAGAATGTACAGATAAGCCTATATGACATACCGGGTAAAAATTCTGACTAACTCGTACGGGTCTAGGACATAAGTGCTATGAGCCGTTTTAGAGACCATGCCTACTTCTACCTCTGATATAGTGGCCCACGTCGAATATCTCTCAGTTTGGCCAGCCGGCAATAGTAAAGTAGGACTAAGTGGCATACTAGGTAGCCCCCTAACCATTTGCTGACAAACTCGTACGGGTCTAGAACATAAGTCCTGTAGACCATTTTAGAGGCCATGTCTACCTTTATCTCTAGTATAATGGCCCACGTAGAGAATCTCTCAGTTTGACCAGCCAGCAATAATAAAGTTAGACTATGTGAACATACCGGATACCCCTAACCCTATGCTGACAAACTCGTACGGGTCTTAAACATAAGTGCTATGGGAAATTTTAGATGCCATGCCTACCTCAACATCTGGTATAATGGCCCACGTGGAGAATCTCTCAGTTTGGCAAGCTGGCAATAGTAAAGTTCGACTTTATGACATACCGGATACCCCCTTAACACTATCCTGACAAACTCGTATGGGTCTAGGGCATTAGTGATATGGGCCATTTTAAGGCCGTGCCTACTTCTACTCTTGTAAAATGGCCCACGTGGAGATTCTCTCAGTATGGCCAGCCGGCAATAGAATAGAATAGAATATTTTTATTTTCCTAATCATATGGCTCATTACAAGCATATCAATTAAGTTACAAATACAGACAATACAATTTAATTATGATTATTATACAAATAACAGACAATATTTGTTCAATTATAATAGGGGAAGAGTCAGTTCATACAGTATACAAAAGAGGATAACTCCTGTTCCACATAAGATATTGATAACTTAGTGATACCTTCTTTTTTTTTGTGACAAGATAGAATATTTTTTCACAGATCTTTTGCCCTTCTTATTTCAGAGTTAAGATAATCACTAAATTCTGATATAAATTGCATGTCATCATTTGGCATTATCCAGATCAAAAGATCATCCTTATGCAATTTCCTTAAGTTATAAAATTTATGAAAAATGTTATTAAGATATGATTCTCTAACATTATTATATAGAGGGCATGTAAATAAAAAATGAGCTTCATCTTTAACCAAGCTCAGCGAGCAAAACTTGCATATTCTATCCTGATGAGGTAATGCAACCATTTTCCTTGACTATCAAATATTCTTTCATAACGACCTCTCTCAATTCTGAAACTGTGGTTACTTAGTCTAAATCTACATAATGTGAATCTTTTTTGTTGGTTTTTATTATTAACCAAATTTTCAAATTCAAAGTTGAGTTTGAAATTAAAATAGGTTTTCAATTGGCTATACTCATCATGAGACAAGGAATCTCTTAAGGTTTTCCGATGCTTAATAAAATCTAATTTGAGACATTTTTAGCACATCTTAAATTTGTTTTCACTGTATTTTTGGCAAATAGAAAGATCAAAATTTCATTTCTCTCACTGACGAATTTTATTGTATTATACCAGGAATTGGTTGTAACTACCTCTCCTGTATGATATTCATTGAAATATTGCCTATATTAAAGTTGGACTATGTGACATACCAGGTACCCCCCTTTTAACCCTATGCTGACAAACCCGTACGGGTCTAGGGCACAAAATCTATGAGCCATTTTAGTGCCAAGCCTACCCCAATCTCTGGTATAATGGCCCACGTTGAGAATCTCTCCAGTTTGGACCAGCCGGTAATAGTAAAGTTGGACTATGTGACATACCGGGTAACCCCCTCCCCCTTAAACCCTATGCTGACAAACTCATACGGATCTAGGGCATAAGTACTATTGGACAATTTTCTATCTGTTACATTAATACAACGATTTAGACCAGAACAAATGTCAACAGGATGAACGGATTCGAGCAAGATTTGATTAAGGAATCGGATCCAAATTATATAGTATTTTAATTCCAGAATCATCAATGCAGCACACATATACTGGCTATACCGGCAATTGTTTGTTTGTCAAAATATTGCCATTATGTGTTCTGCATTAGTCACTATTCAGCCATCACCAAAATGTTTCACACTTTTCGTATCGGGGCCTTTCATAGATGACTATACGCTATGGGGTTTTCTATTTGCTGAAGACCATACGGTGACCTATAATTGCTTATATCCACGTCATTTGAACTGGTAGATAGTTGTCTCAATGGCAATCATACCACATCTAAAACAATATTGACTATTTGTTTCCGTCTGGCAACTATATATAATATATGTATCAGTTCACAGTGTCAGGTCTTTCAGTCATAAGAACCACTGTAAAGAACACGGCCCTACCAAATCAAAGACAATCAAGAACATGTTACGCTGTTAAATATACAAGTTCAAACGTTTAATTTAAATAGGGTCATACTCATTTATATAAGATAAAGCCGAGAAATCAATGAACCACAAAACAAAGGAAAGAAATGAAAATATTTTATTTCTAAAAAGCAGATAATTAATGCACACTAGTAACATAAACATTTTTGAAAATATGCTCACAATCAAAACGAAAACAAAATCGGTAATACGACATATAAAGGTAACGTAGATTTTACTTATTTTAATAGTCCTTCCAGACGCGAATCAATAAGGTATCATTCTGTTCGATGCCGTAATTGCTTTGCACTAAGCATAAATTATTTTCGATCGTCCATTGTTTGACAGTTTCTCCTTACCAGTACCATTTGCGAATTTGAGAACTATTTCGGTAATGAGTAATCCAAATATCAGGTCAATACGACAGGCTTAATGAAAAAGGTCTGGGACATATTTCAGACAAACTAGCGTGCATGAGTAGTGCAATATTCTTTGGCCACTGGATGGCGGAATATAGAAACATTCAATGTTGTAGTATATTTGTTGTATTCTGGTAATAGCATAGAGCAGGAGTCAATTATGTATCGGGGACCGATATTTATCTTGGTATGAAACAGATCTTGAATGGTTGTGGTTGGTTTGTAGCACCTGTTTGAATCCCAATCATAGGCAACTCGTCGTTATCATCACCTTTTGTCAAATTGAATCTTTGTAAAATCGAAATGAAGAATAATAGTAATTCTGATTCCGCAAGCTGTTTACCAAGGCACAGACGAGGACCTACAAAATGTATAATTACGTTTTACTTGTGAATTGAAAATAATGATGAATATGTAAGGGATATAATGTTTTCATTGTGGTGTGTACAAAACGAAGTTAAAAGAAAGTTGCTCTTAGTGTACATATTTTTATAAAGATCCTAGTCTATGCCCCACTGGAATTTGAAAGATCATGCATATTGTTTGTAGAAAGATGCATTTACTTTATTGATTACAATGAGGTATGGCATTTATGTCAATGTCCCATATCAACTTACCAACAAAACAATTACGGGTTTCAACACAATGTCTCTATAAATATTCAATCATTCAAATTGTTTGTCAGTTAAAAGGGCACTTACTAAATAATATCTGTATTGCAGACCTCATAGGTAAATACGAAATACCGCATCAAAAAGTCATTTCAATTATCTTCTTAAAACACTTATTAATTTAGAATTCATGCCATCTTATATGTGTCAGACCACCAATTACTCCCTCCAAATTAGAACGTATGTAAAAGTAGCCCTACTCGGACACTAAATCGTGCTTTTTGTGTCATTCTTTACCTAAACTAACCAACAAATTTGCAGAAATGAATCTTTTTGTGAAAGAGAAATATATTTAGACCATTTTGAGCCAAAATTTACTTGTCTATGAGTTTACATTAAAAATTCAGGATTAATGCGCTCCATAGTATATTAATTAAAGATTTCCTTATATACCTATGTGGAGTTATTTTCTTTTAGAACGTCAGGTCTTTCTGTTGAAGAATCAACCCGGACGATACCAAGTTTCAATGAAATTTGCTTCAAGGCAGAACATAATGACCTGTGTAAGGTCATTGTTTTCCTTGATTAAAATGCAAACTATAATTTACTTAAACATTTAATTCGTTTGATAGTATCGCGTGCTATGGATAAAGACATAAACAATCCTGTCATCTGTGTTTAGACGCGCATTTTAACGTCCGAAACCAATAATGTGAAATTTTGTTAATTTATCGCTACAATAAAGGGACAATATTTGAGATGAATTTGATAATGCAAAACCCTTCATAACACTAATAAAACAAACCAGATTTAACAAATTCATGTGTATGATTTTGAATATCGTATTGAGTCACACTGTACTGGAAATCATACATTGACCTATGGATATTCGTTTTACGTGTTATATGTATCAGTATCAGTATTTCGTGCTATATTCGTGTCACTTCTGAATTTATTACATCTATAGGTACTTATACCTTTTACACTATCAAATGATCAAATGACCAAATATTTTAATATTTATAGAATAATAACAGCCACGTGCTTTATAATAGGTTTTTTTTTTTGGGGGGGGGGGGGGAGTATGATATTTAATTCTGACTAAGTCATTCAAAAGTGAAAACAATAATTCTGAACAGCTCGTTAAAAACTGTTGAAACATAATCTGCTTTTCCCCGATGAAAATGTCACGAAAAAATAGAAAAAACATAGCATCCCCTTTCTTAAAATAAGTTGAAAATAAATTACTTACAAAGTGACTTGTATTTTTCATACACCGTAACAATTCATTTGTGTCTTGCTGCATGCATTTAGTGATATTTCTTTTGTAACTAGATAATGAATGCTATAGCTTATATCTAGATTAATCAGTGAGTTTTATTTCACGTTTCAAATGAGCCGTAGGGCGTATTAAAATCAGTACGGATCAGAAAAGAATATCCCACTTTAGTGTGGTCGGTAAGTATGATGGAAATCTTGCAAATCTTTGCAGAAAATAATACTTTTTACGGTATATAAGTCAGATAATGCATATTTTAAGGTTTTTCTTGTCGTATAACACACCTCGGGGTGTCACGATTGCCCAAAGAAAGACCTCCGGTCGGTCTTTCATTTGATCAATCCTGACACCCCTCAAGAAAGACCTTAAAATATGCATTATCTATAACAGAAAACCCGGGGTTATTTTGGTAGTACCTGTGTTCCTAAGGTCAGATTTTTCTTACAAGACTTTAAAGGTAGATTGAAAATTGGCATGTAGAAAGGTGATACATGTACAATTCAGGATATACCTGGTTTCTATGAAGTTAAACTTAAGGTAAAATATCTAGAAAGCTGTGAAAATTGCAAAATTTGGTTGAACAGATAGGTATTTTTAATTGGTGGTCTGACACCTTATACATAGAATTGAGAAAGGAAACTGGTAATGTGTCAAAGAGATAACAACCTAACCAAAGAGCAGAAAACAGCTCAAGGTCATCATAAGTGAGTCCATACCCATCGAAAAAGTAGAAAAGCCTTCCTTTTTAACAAACTGTCCATCTTTATCAAGAAATCTCTCTGGTCGAAATTCTTCTGGTTTATCCCAAACAGATGGATCAAGATGAACAGACATCAAGTTAGTGATGATAATTGTATCCTTTGGAACAGTCTTTCCATCGATATCTATGTCCTCAAGAGCTACATGTGGTACTGAAAGAGGAGCTAGAATCAAAAATAAGAAAATATATAGTACAAAATGATGGCTCTAGATCTTGTCGCGTTATGAACAAAATGCATAAACAAGATTTTGTTTTGCATACAGTGTCTTGAAATGGTTGTGTCTGTATGTGAGGTTGCCATGACATTGTAACTTATCAATGGTTGATATTATCTTCACTTCGTGTGAAGTTGCCATGATATCAACTTACCATTGGTTGATATTCTCTATACTTGGTATAAGGTTGCCATGGCATTAACTTACAAGTGGTTCATATTCTCTGTACTTCGTGTAAGGAGCCATGGCATTGTAACTTTTCAATTGTTTATATTGTTGTACCTCATGGAAGATTGCCATGGCATTGTAACTTACCAATGGTTCATATTCTCTGTACTTCGTGTAAGGTTACCATGGCATTAACTTACCAATGGTTGATATTCTCTGTACTTCGTGTAAGGTTGCCATTACGTATGGTATATTGTCTTTATCTCTCACGACAGGTTGTCTGTCATTACCGATAACCTGTTAGAAAGATGTTTTATTTTATTATTATACAAGTAGTGTACTTAGGTCATACATGTCTAGTTAACTAAGGTTTATATAAGAATCACAGGAGAATCGATAATATTCATCATTATAAATGTGTACTTAAATATCAAAACAAAAATGAATCCAAGTCTTGAATGGTTAGGTTGCATAGGAATGTTTGCTTGAAAACTGCAGGAAAATTACACAGAACTGGTACCGTGCATCTGTTCTAAGTTTTGCTGAAAAATGACTCATTTCCCAAATGTGGAAAAATACATATATATGATTAAAATTCCTCAAATAATTCCATAAAAGCTATTGCACAACTCCAAATTATGTGCAATCATTCTGTGAAGATTCATGCAAAACCGAAAGACGATTCGATTAAACAAAATTGATACCGTCTTCTGCAAATTTTGCTGAAAAAAAATGACTAAAAAGGTTCCTTAATTAAAGTTCGTTCTGAAAATTGCGAAAAAATCTCCAAACAAATCAATCATAGCAACACCACAACGTAAATATGTGTTCAATTTTCTATCAAGTTTTAGGGTTTCGGTAACTGGTACCATCTGTTGAAATTTCTAAAGAATGACTCAGTTTCATAACTTTGGTCATTGGTAGCCAATCAGTTTATGTTATGGGTAATATTATATTGTCCAATAAAACGTTACAATTATCATGGTTAACTTAACAAATCAGTAAACATAAATCATATGTATAATAATAATAATAATAATAATAATAATAATAATAATAATAAATTCTTTATGTATGATACTTGCCCTCAAATATTTTACTGTAAATATAAAATGAAAATGTCAACATCAGATTAAATCCTATTAACAAATTAAATGAAAATATAACCGGGAAAAAGTGACATCGAGGAACTTTTTATAAGAAATCCAAAACTGCTTTAATATTCGTATTACTTTGGTTTTAAATTGTATATTTATTTATTTCAAACGTGTCTTATATCATGTATATTTTAAAAGCCGAATTCGATTATTGATTTCAACCATTTACAAGTTAAGCCGATGTCACTTAGAAGTTCGAAAGACAGTATTATTAACTTCAAAAAAAGCAATTCTCGGTATTTCACAAAGTTTGGCATGTGGACACTTATCCGTGTATTGTTATATAATGCTATACAATGATAGTCTATATTTTATAAAAAAAACACTTAGCGATTAATTTTGAATGAAATAATAATTGATTTTGTAAATTGTTGCTTAGGCAGTCTAACCCTGTATTTCAAATTATATTTTGAAAACGGTCTTGCGTTTAAAGCAGCCACAGTGTAAATTATAGACAAAAAGGACTTAAATATAACTCATGAATATTCGGGATTATAAAACATCAACGCGACTGAATGTACTGTAAACTCTTCGGGACGTTTACCTCTAATATTTGAGTTTGGCATTTTTTCTGAATATCCGGGTATTTTATCATATACATCATACTCCACTGTAATGTCACGGAGGTGGTGTCCGTACCAGCAATATACAGATCAGCGATAGTAAGGAATAAACACTCATCTATAAAAAAGAGATTTTTTTTTTGTGAAATACTGTTCAACAGAACTAAAACATTTGTCTGACCTATTGGTAGTATAATTGTACACTGTAATTTATCATTATCATTACAATTCAGTAAAAGAAATATATTCTGGATTCAAGACATTTTATTACAAAATTACTGTATGTAGATATAAGAAGATGTGGTATGAGTGTCAATGAGACAACTCGCCATCCAAGTCAAAATTTATAAAAGTAAACCATTATAGGTCAGAGTACGGTCTTCAACACGGAGCCTTCGCTCACACCGAACACCAAGCTATAAAGGGCCCCAAAAATTACTAGTGTAAAACCATTTAAACGGGAAAACCAACGGTCTAATCTATATAAAAAACGAAAAACGAGAAACACTTATGAACCACATCAACAAACGACAACTACTGAACATCAGATTCCTGACTTAGGACAGGTGCAAACAATTGCAGCGGGTTTAAACGTTTAATGGTACCAAACCTTCATACTTATCTGAAACAATAGTGTAACATCACAACATAGAAAGACACACTATAAAATATGTCCTGTATGGCAAACACCTTGGTACCGCCTCTGTGGTTTCGTGGTAGCGTGCTTGCCTTGAGTTCATGATAAAAAATTTCCTTGTACAATTAATGTTAACGGGGCACTAAAATAGGTTAAACAGCTTTGATCAGGAGATATTTAAACTATTCTAACACAGACTTGAATTATTTCTGAGAATAAAGCCATGACTTGAGTTATGGTGCGATCTGGTAAGAGATCCATGAGATTCGGCACAAGGAGATTTCCGCTATGGTACGATCTGGTGAGAGATCCATGAGATTCGGCACATGAAGACTTAAAATATGGTACGAACTTGTGATCGATCAATGAGATTCGGCACATGAAAACTTGAGTTATGGTATGAACTTGTGAGAGATCAATGAGATTCGGCACATGAAGACTTGAGTTATGGTGCGATCTGGTAAGAGATCCATGAGATTCCGCACGTGAAGACTTAAGTTATTGTACGATCTGGTAAGAGATCCATGAGATTCGTCTCATGAAGACTTGAGTTATGATACGATCTGGTAAGAGATCCATGAGATTCGGCACATGAAGACCTGAGTTATGGTACAATCTGGTAAGAGATCCATAAGATTCGGAACATGAAGACTTGAGTTATGGTACGATCTGGTAAGAGATCCATGAGATTCAGCACATGGAGACTTGAGTCATGGTACGATCCGGTGAGAGATCACTATATTTATTCAATTTCACTCTTTGTGTTTTGTACGAAAAACGTACCATTTCTCTAGAATAACAGAATTGGAATTCGACAATCGCAGAATATAATCCCTTTAAGTTTTGTGTTTTTTAGAGAAAATCATTTCAGTTCTTCATGCACATGTTTATGCAATCGTCCGGAGAACAGCACACATACAACTAGTGCATAAAACAAATAATAAATTTGAAAACCCTTTTTGCTGTTAAAAACTGTTCATTAAAGTTAAAATCTTTACCTGAAATTTTACTGTCGGGTTTTCCTTCTTGTTCAAGGTACACATCCAAGAAATGTCGAATGTTATTAGCGTCAAATGAACATCTCGCACTCTCTATCCGTGAAGCTATATACTTTTGAATTTTCTTTCTACCCTCCACAACGAGTTTTATCTGGAATAACCAAATGAAATAATACACAATTAAGGATAAGAAAACAGATGGAATTTCATAGTTTGGCACTGTTGGACATCATGAAATCATGCTAAAGAATATGTGTTGTTATAGTTTACTATGTGGTCTCATTGATTCAAATTCATTCAGGCCGACCATTTAAATAATTGTATTCTTGTATTTAATACTCCATCTCATTTTCCTTTATAATATACTTAGTTGTAAAAACTTTTAAATTTGAGTGTAATATAATCAAAGGCAATCGTTCCGAATCAGCCATCCGTGATGATATCGCTTTCAATCACGGTTGCACTTAAAAAAACATCGATTTTAAAAGTATGTAATAAAGTGTATTCGATATGGCTTTTTGAATATGACCCACCAATAGTTTATAGTTCCATTGTATTACTGAAAAAATAAAAGAAGAATGTGTCTGAGGACACGGATGCCCCCGCTCAAGCTTCAAACAAACGAAAATGGGACGGACGGACGGAAAGACAGGACGGTCAAGGGTAACACTTTATGACCCCGTCGCCTACGGCGTGGGCATAAAAATATATTGTATTTGTATATTGATATCAATATCATGTTGCCTATCAGGGGATCTTAATTGGAGCAATAAATACTCCTCCTCCATATACATATGTATACTTTTTCAAGATTTAAAATATATGGTATGGGTTGGTTATCTTATATGTTCACATCTTCCATAAAAACACCTAACAATTGGATCAGTATATATATATAATTATGAACAAGTCTAAATTGAAAACAACGTTCAAACCTATGATTGCGTTGGATAAAAACCGCAATTTTTATACGTGTGCATGCAAAACAAATTTCTTGGTAAACGGGTCTAAATACAGCACACAAACAACATTTTCCAAAAGACCAAAAAAGTGACAAAGTACATTTTAACAAAGCGCATTTGACTAGCAGGTCGAATAACGGATGTTCTTAAACCCTGCTGACTGCCATTGGCGATTGCCAAATAATATGATCATTAGATGTAACAAAATGGATCTTAAATATTGATTTAATATCAAACAGAAAACAATAAACTTGCGGAAAAGATGGTATACCGCAAACAAAAGGTTCACAAATTAGTACACCATATCCGGATTTCGACAATTAATGTCTCTTCAGTGATGTTAGGAATCGAAACGGTATTTGAAAGGCCATATAATTTACCTCAATTTAGGATAGAATCTTGGATTTTTAAGAGTCGAAATATATATATATATATATATTGGCTACATTAAGGGGATAATCTTTGAAGTATCCTCATTTAAAACAATGGCGATCCTTAATTGGTGCAGGCATTTTTCAATGGAAATTGTTGGTTCAACAGAGTGCCAACCCCACTTTGATAATCATTTCTATGAATTTTACAGTTCCATCACTGGTTTATATAACACTGATTCCGCAGTATAATATTCGATAAAATTGCTGCACTGCGTTTCATATATTTGTTTTAAATTATTGAGTATTCGATTATGCCTTCATATATTCATTAATTAATACGCATTGCCTTCGGGGCATAATTTTGACTGGCATCGAAAAATGTTCCACAATATTGCTTACAAAATATAGAATAGCTTTAAAATGTGTTCTTTTAATTTTCGGGTGAAAATTGCATGAATTGTGGTGGTGTCAAAATGATTTTCCTTTTCTGTTAAAGGAATCGTCTTTTTGCCTTACCCCTGGATTTAACAGCTTGTTTTGTAACGTAAAATATTAGAATTATACTAAATATAGAATCAAAATGTATTATTGAAATAATGCTGCTGGTTGCATGATACCTTTTAGTTTAGTTGTCACACAAACTGAAATCAGCATCAGTGATAAATTATATACTAGATAAATTATCGACAGTTTACGACAGTGATTTGTTTCACACAAAATCTTACGACGTAAGATTTGCTGAATGTTCACAGATATTCATATACCAGCATACGCCAGATAATTTATGACAACAGTATACGCCATAATAATTATTACACCAGTAAACGCTAGAAAAATTATTACACTAGTATATGTTAGATATTACCATAATAAATGGACATTTGGCTGTCTAAGTCTTATTATTGCCCGAACAAAAGCAAAATAACTGAACTAATAGCATTCAGTTTTATCAGTAACTACCAAGATTCAATTGATGTCCTAATATTCTTTACGGTACAAAATCAGTTTGTCGACTTACCTTGTTGAAAGGATTTACTTTGTCCAGAATTGGGAAGCAATTTTCTAGTCTAAACGCAGATGCATATTTAAATATAGTAGCAATATTCCCTAAAAGGTTGTTGAATTCTGGATCATCGAAGTCAAACCTAATCAATAAGAATTAAAAGAATAATTTATAGATATGTTTAAGTAAATATATAAAACCTCTAGATATTAGTCGACGATCTTTCTTACGAGGGCGCTGGATCGTTACGAGTAAATTTTCATGTATAGTCACAACAAAATGATAGGTATGAGATGGAGGTGCGTGACGTATGAGACATCTAGACGCAATACACACAGTTTTGAACAACAGACAGGAGTCTACAAAATGTGCCAATCTTTAAATTGTTATGTATCTAAAAAGGTTTTAAATGATTTACACAGAAACAATACAAGATCTGCCTTTATCAACCAATTCTCTAAATAAAAAATTTAAAAAAAACGGTGCTTTGCATTTGCGCCAAAAAATCTTTCATTTGCACCACACACCATATCTCAAAATAATACAAATTCATTTGCGCCAATAATACAGGTAAATCGTATAAATAATAGATCTAGATTGAAAAGAGACTTTTAATAATGTTACAATATAAAACAAGAAGATGTGGTATGATTGCCAATGAGACTCTCCACCAGAGACCAAATGACGCAGAAGTTAACAACAATAGGTCACCGTACGACCTACAACAATGAGCAAAAACCCATACCGCATATTAAGATATAAGAGGCCAGAAATGACAAATGTAAAACAATTCAAACGAGAAAACATAGTTTTGATAGCAAAAAATGACATATTGATCACAAATCACATTAATCAATAAATCAAAATGAACACATTAAACACTGATTAGTTTTTGTTAAATGCTGAGATCGTGAATTTTTTAAATATGAAAGTTTTTGTATAATCAAATTTATTTTTAAATAGTTGAAGAATAATATAGCCTTCCAAGTGGGTTTATATGAACATCTAGATTGTTTTTAGCATGTTTTATGGACCATTTTTCTGTTTGACAGTCCGTATTTTCACATCCGTACCGCCCATAGGTCCAGAAATTATTGTAGTGTTTTTCAACAAAGATTTGACCCTCGATCTTTTCAATTCAATTTAATGTAAAAACGAGCAAAAATGCATATGATTTTTTTTGGATCTCTTGATAGATAAATGTCTATGGTTTCAGGAAAGGTAATACTCTAATGGATTGAAATTCTCCTTTGGACCAAATTTTGGAGACATTTTCACCCCCCCTTTTTGCAATATTTTGTATCAAATAAATGCAGATTGTTGCCATGGTTACACCAAAAAGAGATTATATTTCACCATTATAATTATTGGAAATCAAATCTATGGAAGATGCTCTTTCCATAAATATATACATGCATAACACAAATATTAAGCCTTATTTGTTAGAAAGGCAGGGAAAGAGGGTGGTTAAAAATTATGAGTGTCAATTTTAAGTTTTTTTCCTAACTGTGTATTGCTACCTAAATAATGGTTATGCTAATCACATCTGTTGTGATTCTGGCTTTACAACTTTTTGGATATATCAATACTATTTGTCTCTGTTTTTAATACATAAGATATCCTAAAATTGACCTTTAAAAAATTACAGACGTATTTCCTCCTCTATTTGTCTCCGATGAAACTATGCCATGTTGTCACCTCGAACATATGAAAACTATACAATTACATACCTTTAAGTGACTCTCAGTTTTGTATGAGAAATGAAAATGAAATCACTTACTAATCCTATAGGGGGATACTGTACAACATTTCTTATACGAGCCTCGTTTTAAGGATACAACTTTCCGTCATATTTTACCTGTGAATGAGCGCAACAGAAAAAAACCTGTGGCTCAAATAAAGTACTGTATTTTATTCCAAAATTGGCGCAGATGCGCACCAAAACATTAAAATATAACATAAAAAAAACCACCGACGAGGCTCCTGACAGGTACATGGATATGTGGCGGGTTACCTGAAATTAGTTATACGATTTAGTAATTCAGAAAATGCGACAGTATCATTGCAGAAATCCTTATATCATTTTACATTGCACAAACAAATATATCGGAGCAAACACACGTCGAGCGACAAACAAATCTATCGGAGCAAAGAACATGTCGAGCGACAAACAAATCTATCGGAGCAAAGTGTATAGAGGGGTTTACTGCCGAATAACTCACATACTGAATGAAAATGAGGAAGTGTCCCAGTTTACACATCTATAAGCTTTTACTTACTCACCGTTATAAACTTTTCATTAGTTGCTCCTCGGGATTCGGATCCCTCTGCGGATTTCGGTCGGGATACCAGGTGTGGTTTAGATAACATGCTCTATTGAAGTGTAAACCAAGGGAACAAATAATAGTCAAGTATGTGTAGACAGCTATGCACTTCACATAAGAATTTTAAAGATTTGATTTTGATCAGATTGAGTAAAAGCAGAACTGAACATCATGATTTATATACAAATGTATATTGTAAATTAATATAGTTTAATAGATGAATATGCAAAATAACACAGAATATTACCGTGAACCGGGATACCAGGTGTGGTTTAGGTAACATGCTCTATTGAAGTGTAAACCAAGGGAATAAATAATAGCCGGCCAATCATAGCCAAGTATTTGTAGACAACTATGCACTTCACATAAAAATTTTAAAGATTTAATTTTGATCAGATTGAGTAAAAGCAGAACTGAACATCATGATGTATATACAAATGTATATTGGAAATTAATATAGTTTAATAGATAAATATGCAAAATAACTCAGAATATTACCGTGAACCAAATATAATGCTTGAAATGATATTGGAGGTTGCTTTCGGGAACATTTTACTACAATCTGTTGGTTTCTTTTCTTGTTTTGAGAAGAGATCCATCAAAAAGTCGACCTCGTCTTGTATCTTCTCTTCAATAGATTGTTTACCGACACCGAAGTCTTTTAATGCGACCATAGAAAATCGCCGGATGTCAACCCATTCTTGGCCATTGCTAAAGATTACACCTGTATATAAGACAAAAATATAATAACAAAAACATTGTGTAATACTTAACTGCGTTTAAGAATACATATGCTTTATTCGACTTTCTTGCTATGCCTTCTTAATTATGATACAGGGATAAAGGAGTGGGTTAACGAATTGGTTATATTAGCCAAAAAAGGCTAAATATATACATAGTTATTGACAAAAATATCTGGCAAATATCTTTTATATATATAGAAGTCTTTAAAATCGACCTAACAGCAAATCCAATATGTACGGAATCGTTTAGAACAGGCAATACGTATGAAAGTGTTAAGATTTGCGCAACGATACTAATATAAGATGGTGATATACGAAGAGGATGTTAAAAAATGGTGTTGACCAATATATTTCGGCTGAACAAATAGCCTTCATCTCTGTCAGTGAAATCTGTCATAGATCTGGAACCAACCATAGATCTGGACCCCACCATAGATTTGAGTCCTTTACATTATATAATATATACTAATCTATTTTTATTGTGTACAGTATCGTTTTTCACAACGATCCACCCTCGCAAGAAATTCGTTGACGAAGACGTTATATATATATATATATATATAAACAAGTCTAAATTGAAAACAACGTTCAAACCTATGACTGCGTTGGATAAAAACCGCAATTTTCATACGTGTGCATGCAAAACAAATTTCTTGTTAGAAGGGTCTAAATACAGAACAAACAACATTTTTCAAAAGACCAAAAAAGTGAAAAAGTATATTTTAACAAAACGCATTTGACTAACAGGTCGAACAACAAAATTAATGTTTTTAAACCCTGCTGACTGCCATTGGCGATTGCCAAATAAACGGATCACCGATGTAATAAATGGATCTTAATTATAAATTTAATACTAAACAGAAAACAATAAACTTGCGCAAAAGATGGTATACCGCAAACAAAAGGTGCAAAGGTTTTTGTACACCATATCCGGATTTCGACAATTAATGTCTCTTCAGTGATGTTAGGAATCGAAACGGTATTTGGAAAGCCATACAATTTACCTCTATTTAGGATAGACTCTTGAATTTTGAGGAGTCAAAATAGGATGAACGGATCATATAAACCCGAAGGCAAATATAATACAAGCCCAAACGAAAAAATATAAACAAGTCTAAATTGAAAACAACGTTCAAACCTATGAGTGCGTTGGATAAAAACCGCATTTTTTATACGTGTGCATGCAAAACAAATTTCTTGTTAGAGGGGTTTAAATACAGCACAAACAACATTTTCCAAAAGACAAAAAAAGTGAAAAGTACATTTTAACAAAACGCACTTGAACAACAAATGTTCTTAAACCCTGCTGACTGCCAATGGCGATTGCCAAATAAACGGATCACCGATGTAATAAATGGATCTTAACTATAAATTTAAATTTAATACTTAACATAAAACAATAAACTTGCGGAAAAGATGGTATACCGCAAACAAAAGGTGCAAAGGTTTTTGTATAATATATACAAGTCTAAATTGAAAACAACGTTCAAACCTACGATTGCGTTGGATAAAAACCGCAATTTTTTTACGTGTGCATGCAAAACAAATTTCTTGATAGAGGTGTCTAAATACAGAACAAACAACATTTTCCAAAAGACCAAAAAAGTGAAAAAGTATATTTTAACAAAACGCATTTGACTAACAGGTCGAACAACAGATGTTCTTAAACCCTGCTGACTGCCATTGGCGATTGCCAAATAAACGGATCACAAGATGTTACAAAATAGATCTTTTAAAATTAATAATTTAATACCAAACAGAAAACAAAAAACTTGCGGAAAAGATGGTATACCGCAAACAAAAGGTGAAAAAATTAGTACACCATATCCGGATTTCGACAATTAATGTCTCTTCAGTGATGTTAAGGATCAAAATGGTATTTGGAAGGCCATATAATTTAACTAGTATTCATCATATATTTAGTAGTAAATACAGAATATTTGATAAATAGCCTGCTGTTTAATCCGTATCGCTCACATTTGATGCGCACACTTTATCACACCCCTTTATCGCATGTCTACCCTTTATCACACCCCTTTATCGCATGTCTACCCTTTATCACACCCCTTTATCGCACCCCTACTCGGATTTCTCGTTCGTATTCTATACGGAGTCTCTCGGACAGTTCCTATATACTCTCCTGTTAAATATATGATAAAGCGTATTAAACATGGCAAAATCCGTATCACATGCCGTATCACCCTCGACCAATATCATCCCTAGGGCCTAAAGGCCCTCGAGCTGATATTGGTATCTCGGGATGATACGGCATGTGATACGGATTTTGCCATGTATTATTCTCTATTTATGTAATGAATTTGTTGATTTGTTGAATCCCTATTAATATTGAACTTTTTGTGATATTTATATATGTGCTCTTTTCATTTGTATGTCTGTGGGCTATTAAATTTACTATACAAAAGATACATATTTTGTTTTTCTGTATTCATATAAAATTGAGAATGGGAGTGGGGAATATGTCAAAGAGACAACAACCCGACCAAAGAGCAGACAATCTTTAGCATGCCCTAGTTACATGCAAAATTTCATTAACAAACATTAAATCGCCCTTTTACGTACCTGTTACCTTAAAATAACCTAAGTTATACATTAAATTTGTTCTGATCGTCGTTCGATAAGTGGGTTTATATTTAATCAAGTTATATCATATGGGATTTAAAGGTGGAACGACAACATGACATCAGAATAAGCATGATAAATTACAATGTACATTAGTTTTCAAATTAGTAAAACCTAAATTTCATATATGTGTATTTTACTCTCTTTTATGATGGACTTTCCGAAGAAAACAGCTGGGTTTTGACAGTAAATGATTATAAGTACATGAAATGATGAATGTAAACAAACGATTTTACAATGATTAAATATTGCTGTTTTTTCTTGCTAAATCCTTGCTTTCAAGTTTACAATTACTGCACACATCATACTAATGAAACTATACGAGCAAAACAAATTAACAGAACTTTCAAAAGTCGGCAACGACTCCTCTATCTGGAAGAAGAAGAAATTAAATCTAACATATTTGAAGTCAATAAAAAAAGTATTGACAAGACAGGAACTTTGGTGACCTCTGGTGACCGCTGGTGATTTCTTAATTATCACTTACCTGCTTCTTTTGGGAAGATTGTTTTTAGGAAGCGAAGCAAATGTCTAGGTCTGAATTTTGTCTTGTTGCCATTGTCAACCAACACTTGATGTACATTCTTGTATCCATAAACGACAACAATGGGTAATTTACCGAACTTGAGGTAAACTAAATCTCCATACTTCTTTTGCATCTGCAGAAATGTTTCACTTGCATTATTAGTCCCTATTATTGACGGCAAATTTCCAATTATCGGCCATGGTGTTGGTCCAGGAATGTTCGTTCGCACTCGAACCACATTGTCCCAAATAATGTAAGCTAATAATAATGTTATAAAAAATGTCAAGATTGTAAATACATCTACTGAGTGAAGAATAGTTTCAATCATAATAAACACTGAATTGTTTTCTATATTTTCCTATATTGTTGTTGGAACGAAAATTCCTTACGTATCTGTAGTTTAAAACACTGCGGAGCGTGTAACACTGGATATTTTGTTTGATATGTATTCTATTTATACATTTTGTTATCATGCTTAATAGGCAATGTAGGGTTGACCTTCAAATTTTGACACTAACTCATTTTAGTCGACATATATACATGTAGTAGTAATCGATGTAGTTTTCATTTACTGACTTCTGACCAGGGAGATGTGTAAGATATGTTCAGTCTGCAGTGGCGTAGGAGTGGTAAGAAAAGTTGGGGAAGGGGGGTAGGGGGCAAACTTCTGAAAGTTACTTACATGCAAAGCAAAAAGGCTTTTCTACAGTTTAAAAGCCAAGGAGTAAGTCAGTGTCCTCTTTCGTTTATTATTATCATTGTTTTTGGCCAAAAAGTAGGGGGACAAAACTATGCCCCCCCCCCCCCCCCCCCCCCTCCCCCCTTTTTTCCCGTTTTCCACGCCACTTGAATGATTCAGTACTTTTTTTTTTAAATTGTATGAAATGTCGTACAGAAAGTGATTATACGATGTTCATATATGAAATCTGCTCGGAAGAACAGTCAATGACATTATAGTATACGAAAGCGTAATTTCGGTATAATTGCCTATACGGGATATTTTTCGCTGTAAATCTGCTAGTTGATATTATACAGCGCTTGTATCTTTTTATAAATATTAAATGTGTGTTGTACATTGTGGAAAAAATATTCATTTGTTCCAGCTTTAGATTTATTTAAAAACCAGTTGTTGGCATGACACGGGTTATGTTCTTCTCATATATGTTATGATGGTATGATACTAAACCCCTAACGGGAAGGATTGTGCCTGATATTCATATGATGAAGACATAATCTTTCAATCAGTTTAATTGAAGTCTGGAGCTGGCATGTCAGTTAACTGCTAGTAGTCTGTTGTTATTTATGTATTATTGTCATTTTGTTTATTTTCTTTGGTTACATCTTCTGACATCAGACTCGGACTTCTCTTGAACTGAATTTTAATGTGCGTATTGTTATGCGTTTACTTTTCTACATTGGCTAGAGGTATAGGGGGAGGGTTGAGATCTCATAAACATGTTTAACCCCGCCGCATTTTTGCGCCTGTCCCAAGTCAGGAGCCTCTAGCCTTTGTTAGTCTTGTATTATTTTTAATTTAACTTCTTGTGTACAATTTAGAGTTTAGTATGGCGTTCATTATCACTGAACTAGTATATATATTTGTTTAGGGGCCAGCTGAAGGACGTCTCCGGGTGCGGGAATTTCTCGCTGCATTGAAGACCTGTTGGTGACCTTCTGCCGTTGTCTGTTCTATGGTCGGGTTGTTGTCTCTTTGACACATTCCCCATTTCCATTCTCAATTTTATTAGAAACAGGAAGAGAAAAAAAATTAAATTCCCAACCGTTGTCTTTGATTCTTATATGTATATAGATATAAGAAGATATGGTATGAGTGCCAATGAGACAACTCTCCATCCAAGTCAAAATTTGTAAACGCAAACCATCATAGGTCAAAACACGGCCTTCAACACGGAGCCTTGACTCACACCGAACAGCAAGCTATAAAGGGCCCCAAAAATGACTAGTGTAAAACCATATATATGCATGTATATCTTTATTGCCAAATTACTCCCATAAGGGTCAAGCAATAACCAATGAAATACATACATGTATTGTTCACTGAGAATACAACAAATTCACTAAATGCACAAATGTACGATGATATTTCCTACATGTTGTTTTAGTATGAGTATTATGAACCTGTCTTGTAGAGGTCTAACGTTCTCGTGTTCTAAAGACTGTTTAATAAAGACTCAAATGTGACAAACAAGTTCACGGGTGGGGAAAAGATTGTGTACTATTTTTTTAATAGATCAAGATTTGTAAATGATGGCAAGTTGTCACGTAGATAAGCAAACTGATCTGAATAATATCACAATAAAAAAAAAGAAACAGTATCACTATTTTGCGGGCTGCGGGTTGCGGGCTGCAGGCTGCGGGCTGCTCTATTTCATTAAATTACAAAGTTACATAAAAATCGAAATACTAATTTTCCTTTACAGGTTAAAAGTTAACGAAGAGCTCTGGCATGAGCGTATGATACGCCTGTCGCTTTATCGATGAATAAAGTTCCATAACTTCTCAATGTCATATCAGAAATTTATAAAAACTAAAGGGAGGTTATTTCAATAGATATAAACCAGTCACCAAAGTTTCATGAAAACTGCTCAAAACATTTCATAGTAAGATAAAATCTTAGCAATCTTTGGACACTTTTAAATTACCTGAATTATCAAAAAAATTCTGTTCAAGTATGATCATTATTTTCATTATCACACTTAATTCAGGGAAATTTTAAGAAAATTATGTAATTTCTTCCTGAAAAGTTACTTTTCATACACTTTAAATAGTGTCATTGCTTTGTGTGATTTTTCTAGAGCACTGGCCTGGCTGGTTAACAATTTTTACTTTTTATCAATTCTATAATAAGTGATATTTTTGGTTTTGATATTTTGTATTTATTTTCTGATATATTGGTATAATAAAAGACCAGCAATAAATCATTAAAAGTCTGTTGATAATAATACACATCCTTACACAATTTTTCGAAGTTTCACAAATAGAACCTTTTACCAGTATATACAGTGTTTTGATGTTTTTTTTTCTTCCCTATTTATTGTTCAACTGACTTATTAGATCGCAACCCGCAGCCCGCAACCCGTAGCCCGCAACCCGCAACCCGCAACCAGCAAAATATACACACTTAGAAAGAAATTGTATCCATCATCAAGGACTCTACATGTCATACATAATTTTTAAACTCTTGTGATATATAAATCGACATGACGCAGAGGGGAAGAGGGCAACACAATGCGCTCTGTCAAGAACAATAATTTTAAAAGAAGATGAAAAATATTTTATATATAATTTCATTACATGTATGAAATAGAACATGATTACAGGAGACTTTTTAAATTGTATACTAAATAAGTATAATTAAGGCAGATGTAATATCATGGGAAAAAGTTATTTACTGATTCTCTTAAATAGAAATAAAAAAAAACTCCTTTAACAAACTCAAACTTGACATAAGATAATATTTTTGTTAAAAAAATTAAAAAGTTATAACAAGCAAAATTAAATATACACAAAACAATGAAGATTTACATGATTTATGCAAAAAAACTGGACAATAGATAAATAAATTATATAGGTTTAGGATATGAGGGTGACGACTAACAATCATTTAATCAGTATGGTAAAAGAAAGCTGACCTATTAATTTTGATTTGCGAGCATTCAGAAAACATCGAACATATTCTAAAAATAACAAATCAGTTTTTGAAAAAAAGCAATTATTTATTCCCATATGTAGTTCACGCAGTGGAACGCTCTAAGTTAATATGTATTTCTTAGTTTTTGGTTTTATTATATTCATATGATGATGAAACTTTTCACGGTTTTTTTGTACGTATTAAATATCTCCAAGTCATATTTGACATATTAGTATACATTCAAACCTCTATATACATTGTACTAGATTACACGTTACACATACGCAAGTACACATTATTATATCTATATATATATATAGATCGCTGTCGTATACAACATATTCTCGTTATTTGTTTATATAGTTGAAAAGGTGGAATTTCTATAGTATATGACCTTGTTTGACAAATTCTACTACCAGTTAGCTATTTATTTATTCGGGTCAAAAGGTGGATCTTCTCGTTTATTTGTTTATCCAGGTTAACAACCCCCTTTGGTCAGCGAATTGAAAAAAATTGATTGTACATTACGAAATACAAGTGTTACTTATGTATAAAAAGTGTAAAGCACATTGGGATTACATTTACTAGTAGTTGAATCTTATAGGAAAAGGTTACCGTTATGTTACATCAACTCTATACCGCGTTAGACCTTACAACTGTGTTGACATTTTTACTTGTGTTAATTGTGAGTTATTTAATATGGAACTATTTTTTCACTGTCCAGCGAGTAAATATTCCGGGACCAGCACCTTGGCCTATAGTTGGAAACCTGCCACATATTGCGGGTACGCGAGATGTAGGAAAAAGATTGTTGGAGTTTAGGAAAAAATATGGCGACATGGTATTCCTTCGATTTGGTCCACAACCTATACTTGTGTGTTTTGGTTATAAGCTGGTTCGGGAAGTTTTGTTTGTCAATGGGGAACAAACCAAGTTCAGGCCGTCTTGGATGTATCTTATCAAAAAGTTCTTTCCGAAAATGACAGGTAAGGTAGACAAATCATGTTATATTATTGCAAAAATATATATCTAAATATTCCAAGACCAGCACCTTGGCCTATAGTTATGATAGTGAAAACCTCCCACAATGGGTTTTATAGGGACTATCACATAAATAGAACTTTGGACAACACTGTGACACACATGCACACTTTAAAAAAAAACGTGTAAGTCAAATTTCCTTTTTATTCAATTCCTATAGTCAGAACAAAACTTCCAAAAATAAATCTCTATATTTCGGAGAAAAATAAACTTAAAAAGACTGTTGACAAATTAATGATATCTTTACCATATGTTTTAAAGGTTCCATTTTAATGAAATATATTCAGTCAACAAAGTTGTTCTAAATTTTACCACTAAACTGAAAATCGAAATATTTCAAGTTCAACTGTTGTAAGGTCTCCGTGAATATGGAAAATTAACATTTTCTCCCTTCTTCCAACATTCCCCCCAACTCTTCACAACAGTTGAGTAATTTACATCAGCTAAAGTCTCGTACAACAATAATTATTTCACTATTTTATTGTCTATTAATGCATAATAATGACCGCTAGACCTACTAGTAATCCGACATTATATTCAATAATTAGACATTAGTTTCAGCAATGGCTAGATTACGTTTAATAAAGATTTAAAGATTTAGGACGAAATCTATTTAACATTGTTTAAACTGCCAGTCGTCTATTGTCACCAAGAATCGTTTATTCATTTTCCATCATTATTTTTGCAATCTACTGAGCTGAATCTCATGATGCTCGGAGACCAGCAGTCCATCAGCAGCTGTATCTACCAGGCGTTAGTAAATGAAAATAAAACGTTCTAAGGGTGTTTCCTAAAACAATTCTCTCTCTCTCTCTCTCTCTCTCTCTCTCTCTCTCTCTCTCTCTGAGCGATTTAGAGTTTTTCCTTTAATGGTGTTTGTTCATCTTTGAACCTCGTGTGTATAGTATCGACATTTCGGTTAAATGACTTGCTGTCTCGTTATCTTATGTGCACTGTTATCCTCTTAGCAAGTCCTATAGTAGCCATTAAAATGCTCCCCTCAGGACAAAAAAACTATCATACCAGCTTGAATAGATTGAAATTTCTTATGTTCCATTCGTCATGAAATGTTTGTGTAACAGGAATGTTCCATTCGTCGTGAAATGTTTGTGCTACAGGGATATGTTCCATTCGTCGTGAAATGTTTGTGTTACACTACAGGTATGTTCAATTCCTTGTGAAATGTTTGTGGAACAGGTATGTTCCATTTGTCGTGAAATGTTTATGTGACAGGTATGTTCCATTCGTCGTGAAATGTTTGTGTTACAGGTATGTTTCATTCGTCGTGAAATGTTTGTGTAACAGGTATGTTCCATTCGTCGTGAAATGTTTGTGTAACAGGTATGTTCCATTCGTCGTGAAATGTTTGTGTAACAGGTATGTTTCATTCGTCGTGAAATGTTTGTGTTACAGGTATGTTTCATTCGTCGTGAAATGTTTGTGTAACAGGTATGTTCCATTCGTCGTGAAATGTTTGTGTTACAGGGATGTTCCATTCCTCTTGAAATGTTTGTGTTATAGGTATGTTCCATTCGTCGTGAAATGTTTATGTGACAGGTATGTTCCATTCGTCGTGAAATGTTTGTGTTACAGGTATGTTCCATTCGTCGTGAACTGTTTGTGTAACAGGTATGTTCCATTCGTCGTGAAATGTTTGTGGTACAGGGATGTTCCATTCGTCGTGAAATGTTTGTGGTACAGGGATGTTCCATTCGTCGTGAAATGTTTGTGGTACAGGGATGTTCCATTCCTTTGAAATGTTTGTGTTACAGGGATATATTTCATTCGTCGTGAAACGTTTGTGTTACAGGTATGTTCCATTCGTCGTGAAACGTTTGTGTTACAGGTATATTCCATTCCTCGTGAAATGTTTGTGTTACAGGGATATGTTCCATTCGTCGTGAAATGTTTGTGTTACAGGTATATTCCATTCCTCCTGAAATGTTTATGTGACAGGTATGTTCCATTCCTCTTGAAATGTTTGTGTTTGAACATCAAACATTTTACCATAATTATAGACATGTAAAACATTTCTAAAAGCACATTACGTTTAACGTGGTGAATTTCAATTTTCAGTGATTGTTAACCATTTTTTTGAGTTGCACGTGACTCTTAGCGTTGAACGTGACGTTATGTGTGGTAAATACCAATTTTCAACATTTTTTTCAGGTGAATGTGCTACTTTATTCAAAATACAGTTGATAAAGAAACCCCTACTAAAATAATACTAATATATGGAATAATTGTGAATATCCTTTAAACAGGTATTTTCTTCAGCGATGGCAAAACATTGTCGGATGGACGAAAATTTACAATTGTTGCACTCAAAGATTTTGGAGTAGGTAAAAAGACGATAGATGAACGTATACACGAGGAAGTTCAATACCTTGTGGACGAATTCTCCAAAAATCCAGAAAAGCCTGTCGACGTATTCAAAGTATTTCCTATGGCTACTTCCAATATTATATCAAATATAATATTTGGATCAAGGTAATGGAAAAGAAAGGATGTGGTAGATCAATTCATAACACAAGTCACTACATGCACATAAAAAAACACAAAAGCAACGGATCAGCGCTTTGGTTGCTGTTCTTCATCTCAAGGTCGGATTGAGGCCTTCATCATGGGCGCAGGACATTTTAGCGAAAAATTTTGAACTACTAATGGACATTTTAGGGCAGACATTATAACCCATTTTATACTGCACTCGTTCTATTTGAGCAGTCAAAATGCGTTGACTATATATTGCTATGTCATATACAGACACTGACCCGATATCACTTTTCCTCATGAATATTTAAATAGAAGTTTCCGAAACTATATTTAATTATTCATACGACCTCTTCAACCTGTTCTTGTTTCCAATGTATACAATGAAGCGTGGAACGACCCAAAATTATTTCTTTTACAATTTTAGGAAAAACATATTTCACTTGTTAATATTTTTTGTTTGAAACCTATAAATCATTATGTTTTATGCTTATTGTTGATATTTTAGTCCATACTCAAACGAATTCGTTCACCATTGATTGCGGGTTTCAACAGGTAATGTACATTTCATTGCGTTGTCTATTTCTCCGTCTGATACCGGTATAAGGCCTTTTTAAAGGGGGATTTTTCCAATATTTAAATCAAATAAATAACATTTACACATTAAACAACAATTGAAAATGTTTTTTTCTAGATTGCAGTATAGAGACAATAATAGTGCATTGACTTGACATATCAAAGATATAAGGATTCGGCCCGAAACGGGGAAAAAGCTCGGCAGAGCGTCGCATTTCCCCGTTTCTAAGCCTCATCCTTATAATGGTTGATATGTCAAGTCAATGCACTATTATTGTCTATTTAGCGCAGGATTAATCCGGTCACATGCATTTTCGATGGGTAATTGTAATTTTACTTTTCGCTAAAATGGGTTAAAAATCTTGCGCTAAAATGGGTTATACTTTGGCGCTTAAACGTCAGATTTTTTTCGCTAAAATGTCCTATCAATGCGCTAAAATGTCACCACCGTTCATCATAGGGCAAAACTCTTAATAATGACACTATAGTGACCTCATAAACAGAATGAACAAATCAGAAAAAAGAACTGAACTATATCAGATATTAGTTAATCTCAAATTTCAAAATATCACCTATAGCAATTCCTTACTTTTAGGCACTTTTTTTTTACACCTTAAGGTTGACAAATTTGCACAAAATTGTTATTATTATTTTTTTAAAGAAGGTTTTAATTTTTTCGAAAATCAGTTAGAGTATTTTTGTGTTTGTTTATTTGCATGTTTGTTTCTTTTCTGGGAGATCGTCCATTCAATATAGCACGAACCATAAAGCGATAAACTTTATGTTTAATAAAAAAAAGAAATTTATTGATCATTCGACTTAAGGTTATTAAATTTTACTTATGGTTGTTTATAACAGGTTCAATTACGATGATGAAGAATTCAAGGAGATGTTATATCACATTTATTTCATATTCAAATCTGCTACCCTTGCTGCTCCTGAGAATTTCTTTCCAATAATTGATAAACTGAAACCATGGAATACGGTATGTACTTACGTAAAGGCAAAAATGAAATGCATTGATTGATTTTTTGTGTTTTAACGCCACTTTCAGCACTATTGGCTATTTCGTGGCGACCAGTATTTATGGAGGCATGCAGGAAGTCGGAGTGCCCTGAGTGAACCTCCGACCTTCTGAGATCCAAGTCAATTTAGGTTTGAGTCGAACGCAACTGCCACGTGCGGGGTTCGAACTCGCAACCTCGGTGCTGACAGCTAGGCAATTAATACAGAAGTTCAACAAGGCCACCGAATCCCCCGAAAATGAAAAACAATATTGCATCAAAATGTGAAGCGATGTCAAACTAGGTAGTCGAACATCAAATAGTATTCTTTGTTTTCTTGAGGAAAATTGATTTATTGTTGAAAAACAAACTGATTACACTCAAAATTTACAGATTGAAGCCAAACGTTTCTTTCAAGGAAATACAAATCCTTATTGTTCTGTCAAACGGAACGTCAACGCTCAGCTAGTATTTTTTTTTCTTTTTTGAACAGAGCACACAGGTTGCGGGACATATGGCAGCTGTCAGAACGTATGTGCGTTCCAGAGTGGATAAACAGCGAGATTCATTTGACCCAAATAATATTCGAAACTTTATTGACCTTTACCTGGATCAAGAGGGAAAACCAAATTCAAAAATATCAGGTTCTTAATTTTAAATTTTGCCATTAAAATATAACATGTACATGTGTCCAAGTACTCAGTTTGAAATTGTTGCATGGTACATAAGATTCCCATTAAATACTAACTAGGTTGAACAAGAATAAGAATATAGGAATATTGCTATGACCTAAACATTTTTTCCTAAAACGACAGCAGTACAATTTATGATACTTCCAAAATATATTTATAAATGAATATACATTATTCTCTTATACTGAGTTTTACTGTACGAACTGTTGTGCGTTTGTTTTTTCTACATTGGCTAGAGGTATAGGGGAGGGTTGAGATTTCAAAAAACATGTTTAACCCCGTCGCATTTTTGCGCCTGTCCCAAGTCAGGAGCCTCTGGCCTTTGTTAGTCTTGTATCGTTTTTAATTTTAGTTTCCTGTGTATAATTTGGAGTTTAGTATGACGTCCATTACCACTGAACTAGTATATATATTTGTTTAGGGGCCAGCTGAAGGACGCCTCCGGGTGCGGGAGTTTCTCGCTGCATTGAAGACCCATTGGTGGCCTTCGGCTGTTGTCTGTTCTATGGTCGGGTTGTTGTCTCTTTGACACATTCCCCATTTCTATTCTCAATTTTATTGTAATTCTTAGTTTCACCAAGAATGCTCAAAGCTAAACTATATGTCATAAACCCAGTTCTACTAAACCAATCCTCACATAACTATCTGCTTACCGCTAACATTAAATACTAGATTGAACGTGAAGTCAAGTAGACATCGGGCTTATGCTATCATTAATTACTATATTGAACGTGAAATCAGGTAGACATCGGGCTTGGCCTTTTTACTTTTTTGATTCGAGCATCACTTATAAGTCTTTTGTAGACGAAACGAGCATCTGGCGCTAAAATAATTAAGCCTGATATCTATATTGAGTATATTTATCGCTATCATTAAAATAACTAGGTTGAACGAGTTACTAAGTACATTTCGGACTTACCACTGTCATTAAATACTATGTTGAACGAGAAATCAAGTAGAAATCGGGTTTACCGCTATCATTAAATACTATGTTGAACGAGAAATCAAGTAGACACCAGGTTTACCGCTATCATTAAATACTATGTTGAACGAGAACTCAAGTAGACATTGGGTTTACCGCTATCATTAAATACTAACTAGGTTGAACAAGAATAAGAATATAGGAATATTGCTATGACCTAAACATTTTTTCCTAAAACGACAGCAGTACAATTTATGATACTTCCAAAATATATTTATAAATGAATATACATTGTAATTCTTAGTTTCAGTAAGAATGCTCAAAGCTAAACTATATGTCATAAGTTCATTCGAACATATGACGGTCTGAATGGGAGGGACTTAATTTATATGTTCTTTTATTATAATTCTTCTTTTTTTCGCCCATTATTTTCTCTGTTTTACATTTAAGAACGCCATTATTCTCTATTCTTGATATTTGTGGTCCATTTTTTATTATTCTTTATTTGTTTGCCCATACCTATTCTGTAAACCCTATACAGAACTTCGTGTATGCTTTAAGAAATAGATATAAACAGCATGGTTATAAACATCATAAGGAAACATGTATTTGAACTAATAGATTTAGTTAGTAGCAGATTCATTGATAGTTTTTGTTAAATTTATTCATTTGATGTGCAGAAATTGAGATTTGTCTTTCAACAGTGCTTTCTTTAAAGTATATAAATTGTGCAAATATTGCAAAAGTTATTGCAAGGGACTGCAGATATTGTTAAACTGTTATAGATAGACTCAAAACAAGATCTACAAAAAAAAATGAATTATTGTCCTGGTCTTCATTCTTTTTTGTTACTTTCTAGAGGTGTGCCTTAGACGAAGGTTTTATATATACTCCTAAATATATATACGAATATGTGAAAACTGTTGTTTCTTATTTGTGTTTGTAACTATGTATACTGTATTGTTTATTATATTTGTAAAAATAATATTATAATGATATTATATTATGCTCCTTGTTAGCCCAATTTATGAAAATAAAGCATCTATATCATATCAACATGGCATATTTTTTACCAGATTTCAGGTTCAGGATCATTGGAGCTTCTTGTACGCATAAAAGAAAATTCACAAAGCTTGTATTCGTCTTTGCATACGAAATTTATTCGTGTCTAAAAATCATTTTATTTCAAAATAATGTGGTAATTGATTTTTCTCTCGTTGATTTAATTTCTGTTCTTTTGTATGAATCAAATAAGAGAAAACGTAATTGAAGTCACATTGCGAAATAGGCGAATATATGTTACGGGCATGGACTTAAATGACTCATATAAAAATACAAGTACAACAAATGATAAACAGATTAGTATTGACCAAATACATTTTTTTCAGAGGACTTTCTCTTTCAAGTGATTGTAGACATCTACCAAGCAGGAACCAATACCACAGCTATCTCCCTTGTCTGGTGCATGTTGCACATGCTGAAATATCCGGAGGTTCAGAAAAAATGTAGAGATGAAGTCATGAAAGTGAGTTTCATCATATTCCAGGAGGCTTGATGAAAGGGTTACTATGGTGACCTTGATGTGTATCATTCTCTTTATTTTTTGTTTCATTATTATGTTTGTTTGTTTGTTTTTTTATGATTGTTTTTTTTTTTACACTTTTAATCCTCCAAGGATATGTATACTTAACTATTAAAATCCTTGCTTTAATCTATTTGTATCAGTATCAGGTTTGACATGTAATTGATTTATTGTGAAGAAATGAATGTAGATATTTTAAATTTTAAGCGATACGAAAGAAAAGGACGCAGTGCACTTTACTTACCGCTCAATATTTAGTATAAGTAATGGATTTCCAAAAAAAAAATGCTAAGAAGTAATGAAAAAGATATATCTTTTAAAAAATATATTGTGTAAATTATAATACCGATGCACGAAAATACAAATAGCCTATTATATTGTTGTAGGTTATTGGGGATGGTAGATTTCCAACTTCTAAGGACAAAGTCTCGCTTCCATACGTTATGGCTACAATACGGGAAGTTCAAAGACTTGCAGCTGTAGGTAGGTCTTTACGTGAATGTATTATTTTTTCTTAATGATTAGTCAATGCCAGGGTTGATTGGTGCAAAACATATGGTCGTTGACACTTCTCAGTCACTTCATTTGGTAAATGAAGACAACAGTAGTTCACTATTGTGTTCATCTCATAAAACAAATAAGAAGACAAATCATGGTTGCAATCAAAATCTGGGGGGATCGCATGAACTCAAAAAAGAGCGAGTGCGTCGACAGGGTAAGTGTTTCATGTTGTACATGTGCGTGCATCATCCACCGTGCGAATCCATACTCAGTCAAAATGTCATACTCGGGAATAGGACACAATCGATAAAATAACAAATTCGACGATGGATGTTTAACGTCTAGTGGCAAATTAAATGCATATTCAGGACGAGAACATATTGTGATATGAATATGAACTTTGCTTTGTACTAGACCTACACGCTTAAATGGACTTTTAACGTGATAGTTCACAAGGTAACAGTCAGCAGGAACACTTCTCAGCCTACCCGGACACACAAGGTAACATTCTGCAGGAACACTTGTCAGCCTTCCCGGACACAAAAGATAACAGACCGCAGGGACACTTGTCAGCCTACCGGGTCACACGAGGTAACAGTCAGCAGGAACACTTGTCAGCCTACCCGGACACTGACTCTGATCCGATCAGTCTTTGTTTTAACTTTTTTTTGCGGCGTGCTTAGTGGAGAATCAGCAAATACCCAATCTAATTAAAATATATATCTCTGATTTCGTTATACCCATATGAGTAACTTAAACGGAGTTACGATTGATCGATCAATCAATATTTTAATTAGAATAAGATTGAGCAAATACAAATGTTAAAGTCTTTTGGCTTTGCCATGGACCGGATTCGAACCCACGACCTCCCGCACTGGAGGCAAGCACGCTACCACGAGACGACCGAGGCGGTTCAGATTATAGACAATTGTTCTGGTATCGAAATATCTAAGACGAAAACACGTTGCCAGTGAGTTAAGACACACACATATCATATCGGTTGACATATTCGAGATGGTGACCGTAAAGCTTATGCAGCGTGCACAATCAGTACTTATATACTTGTGTTCGATCTTTCAATTGAGCATGTGGAATCGTAGTGTAAAGCGTAGAAAAATCATGGTTAAACCTATGCAGTGATGGCGTCTTTTTGGATGGGCAGGATGTAAAATTGGTCATCTATTTTTAGAAAATATTGTATAGTTACCAATGAAAAATTATCAAAGGAAAGAATCAAAAAGTATTCTTTAATAGATTTTCGTAACTTTTCTAACGAGTAGAAAGAAAAACAAAAAATATGATAAATATGTAATATGAGCATCGTTTTAAACACCAGAAGCCTCTGCTTCGGCAACCAAGTTTTCAGAAAGTCAAAGCCTATATATGCTTCGTTATGTCAAAGCCTACCTCTGCTTTGTTATGTCAAAGCCTACCTCTGTTTCGTAATGTCAAAGCCTACCTCTGCTTTGTTATGTCAAAGCCTACATCTGCTTCATTATGTCAAAGCCTACCTCTGCTTTGTAATTTGAAAGTCTACATCTGCTTCGTCATGTCAAAGCCTACTTTCTTCGTTATGTCAAAGCCTACATATGGTTCGTAATGTCAAAGCCTACATCTTCTTCGTTATGTCAAAGCCTACATCTGCTTCGTAATGTCAAAGCCTACATCTGCTTCTTTATGTCAAATCATACCTTTGCTGCGTTATGTCATCGCCTATATCTACTTCTTTATCTCAAAGACTACATCTGCTTCGTTATGTCAAAGCCTACCTCTGCTTCGCCATGTCAAAGCCTACCTCTGCTTCGTTATTTTAAAGCCTGTATCTTCCTCGTTATGTCAAACCCTACATCTGCTTCGTTATGTCAAAGACTACCTCTGCTTCGTTATGTCAAAGCCTGCATTTGCTTCGTTATGTCAAAGCCTACCTCTGTTTCGTTATGTCAAAACCTACATATGTTTCGTTAGGGAACGACCATTTAACTTTCTTGGGGGGAGGGGGGGGGGGGGGGGGGGGGGGAAGGGGCAGTATAGTTTTTTCCAAAAAAATATTCTGATCCCCAATTTGATGAAAAAAATATTGTGGTCAAGCAGATGACAAAAGAAAATGAAAATATTCTGAATCCAGATTTTCTACATACCTTATAGTGTTTTAAAATTTTGAAAAAAAATAATTTGATTGTTAGCGTCGACATATATTTTTCTGACTCAGACAAAAAAACCCATAACTCCTCTTGAAGTTAAATGGTTGCTCCCTTATGTCCAATCCTATGAATCAGTCTGTTCACATGTAAAACACGAACAAATTTCCTTTTACGCTGCTGTTCTAAAAACCTTAATGATTTTTAAGAATAATCATTATTGTAGCCTTTTCATTGCTACATGTATACAGGTATTTGTTCATTGCTACATGTATACAGGTATTTTTTTCATTGCTACATGTATTCAGGTATTTTCATTGCTACATGTATCCAGGTATTTTAATTTTCTTTCAGCTCCAGTTGCCACACCTCATGCATTACTAGAAGACACGTACATCGATGGTAAACTCGTACCGAAACATACTGTAATATTGTGTCATTTGATGTCTGTGCTTTACGATCCTACCGAATGGCAAGAATCAGAAAAGTTTCGGCCTGAAAGGTTTCTAGGAGAAAAGGGAGAGCTGATTAAACCCGAGGCTTTTTGTCCGTTCTCCATGGGTAAGCGTTTGTACTAACCATTACAGTATAATTTTAGCTCAATTTTTCTTATCAATTGCTATATTCTTCCGTACGTTCCTCATTTTATCTACAAAAATGTAATTTGCATTAATATTGTTGTTATACAAGCACATATTAATTTGGAATAATGGTCAACAGACATAAATGTAATGGGAATTGTATGTGTTTGCTTTTGTAGAGTGCCATCTTATAAAAAGATACTACCCCTAAAATGTTGGCCTGTAAATGTAATTATGTCATTTTGTGTTGCAGTTTTGTTCTGGATAAAAAAAATATCCATAATTGCACAGCTTACTACTTGGTTGCAGCATATCTTGATTTGAGTGTACATAATATATCACGGTCCTACTTGTCCATTTCAGTTTTGTTTAGGCAACTTTTTCATCTATGACACATACTTTTTTTCATAGCATAAAAATGCATGTAATTTGCATTGCAAAAGCATAAATTAGATGGTATTTTCTTGGTCAGTGAAGAGTGGATTCATAAAACATTTTTCTACGGAATCGAGGAATCGTTTTAATTTCAAAAATGCACGATTGCAATTGTTACTTATTAGTTAACACTATTTTCAAATGTTACAAGTTATTTCATGATAGACCACCATAGATGTCTACCTTCAAATATAAATAACAATGTATAATGCCATTTAAAAATATTAGAAATCCTTACTTTGTGTAGGCACCTCGTATGTTTATTGTTTGTACTAATAATTTATTTATCATTTTCTACACCTAGGGCCCAGGACATGCATTGGACAACAGTTAGCTTCAAACGAAGTCTTCTTATTTTTCACTTCATTCCTTCAGCGGTTCAACTTCACCAAAGTTAACAAAGATGATTTTTTGTCTTCAAACGGAGAACATACAGGTGTGACTCGTCAACCAGACCCATTTCAGATGTGTTTTAAACCTATCTAACATTCAATAGTTGGTACATTCTTCATTTCAAGAGTTTAGATTAGTCTATTAACATGAGTCAGTAGTTTCTGTGTGACTTTTCATCTTCATGAATGTATTTAGCCAACAACAAAAATATGCATCACGTTATGATAGTCTGCTGCTTCACGTAGATTAATGTAGATCTTGTTTGATCAAAATGGCATTGTTATCTATAGCAACAAAAGTTTTTTAATTACAGTACTGTAATTTGATAAGAGGACTGTAGCTAACTTAAGACTTTAGACAGTGGTTAATATAGGGACAATGTAATCCTTTATGAAGTATATTACATAATGTGCCAATTTAAATCGGATCTATATTTTATTCCTGTAGAAATATAGATATAGAAATTTAGAAAATAATATATATCTTAAATGTCTCTCTAATTCGCAGTTATAAAGACATCGGTGTTTTTCGAACGTCACCGATGAGTCTTCTTTAGACGAAATGCGTGTCTGGCGTACACATCTATAAATCTGGTATCCAGATACATGATTTTTTGTAAAGCCATCTCATATGCTTTAATCTAAAGTACGCATGGTTATGGTACTAAGTCAGTGATATTTGTATTTAATTTTATGGTATAATTAAAATGTACAGAATGGATTTACTACTATTTTCTTGTGTTGTTTAACAGACTAGTATATACGATTGATTGATTGTTGGTTAATTAACGTCCAGTGTCTAGTATATACGATTGATTGATTGTTGGTTGTTGGTAACTTAACGTCCAGTGTCTAGTATATACGATTGATTGATTGTAAGTTGCTTGACGTCCAGTGTCTAGTATAAACGATTGATTGATTTTTGGTTACTTAACGTCCAGTGTCTAGTATATACGATTGATTGATTGTAAGTTGCTTAACGTCCAGCGTCTAGTATATACGATTGATTGATTGTTGGTTGCTTAACGTCCAGTGTCCAGTAAATACGATTGATTGATTGTTGGTTGCTTAACGTCCAGTGTCTAGTATATACGCTTGATTGATTGTTGGTTGCTTAACGTCCAGTGTCTAGTATATACGATTGATTGATTGTTGGTTGTTTAACGTCCAGTGTCTAGTATGTATAGATTATAACATGCCCTTTTCCATATTGGCCCTGGTATCATCCCGAGACTCCCATATCGGCCTCGAGGCTTTAGCCGAGGGCCGATATGGGTCGAGGGATGATACCAGGGCCAATATGGAAAAGACATGTTATAATCTATTTATCACATATTTAAGTTCTGCAGAAAAGAGAAAAAAGTTCAATTATAACAATTTAATGAAATATAACAGGTAAAATCTTAAAAATTTTATCACAAAAGTTTTATCACATTTTTAAATTTAGTTTTTATCATTTACACTATAGAAATTTATTGTCACATTTCCACTTATTTCGGAATCAGGGCACATTTGCTCTACAAAGTCTGCCGTATCGCTTTCCTCCACTGCGATGTATAAACGAGCAACGTTATTGTTCGCCATTGTCGTTAAGGACGCAATGACGTCACGTCATTTGGAATCAGGGCACAATAACCAATAACCTCTTTTGCCCCGGGCAATTTTGAGGTTATTACATATGCAAAACCCAACGTATTCGTAACAAATATGTGATAAATACGATTACGTCCAGTGTCTAGTATATACGATTGATTGATTGTTGGTTGCTTAACGTCCAGTGTCTGGTATATACGATTGATTGATTGTTGTTTGTTGGTTACTTAACGTCCAGTGCCTAGTATATACGATTGATTGATTGTTGGTTACTTAACGTCCAGTGTCTAGTATATACGATTGATTGATTGTTGGTTGCTTAACTCCAGTGTCTAGTATATACGATTGATTGATTGTTGGTTACTAAACGTCCAGTGTCTAGTATTTACGATTGATTGATTGTTGGTTACTTTACGTCCAGTGTCTAGTATATACGATTGATTGATTGTTGGTTACTTAACGTCCAGTGTCTAGTATATACGATTGATTGATTGTTGGTTACTTAACGTTCAGTGTCTAGTATATACGAGTTTATATAATCTTTATTGCAAAATTACACCCATAAGGGTCAAGCAATACAAACAAACAATTATACATTTTAAATACAATGTAATACAATGTAATACAATACAATATAATAGGACATATTTTAAGAGTTCAATTATAAATTTATGTAAAAAACACAATCATAAGCTTGTCTGACATGGGTCTGACCCCCTCAGTTCTAAAGGCTGCTTGATAAAGACTCTAATATGACAAACAAGTTCAGGGATGGGGTTTAGAATGTGCTTTAGTTTATTAAATGCATCAAGATGTTGAAATAATGGTACATAGTCTTTTAGATAAGCAAAAAAATAGAACGCAATAATATGTTAATGTCACAATACAAAAAGAAATGAAATTCGTCATCTAGGACTCCACATTTTTTACATAATCCTTGTGCTTTTGGAATGTTTCTGTACCTTCCCAATTCAATGCCTAGGGAATGATCACTGAGTCTAAATTTTGAGAGAAACTGCCTATGTATAAAATTATTTCAATTTAAATATTCCTCAGACTGACAATTAGTTTTTAATTTCCCATAGAGACAAAGTTTGGATGAGGAATCCAATTTTGAAAGTTTATTTAAAGTAGTTTTTTCATATTCCTCTGAAACACACTTTTTAATATTACATTTTAACACGTTTTTTGATTGTTTAAAAGGTACATTAATATTAGAGTAATTTTCTGGGTTTATTTTCATATCTTTAAAAATTTTATCTGCAAATGAGTACCAAGAATAAATTCCTGCGGAATGTAAATTTATGTTTGTTTGTAGAGATTCTTTAACCAGGGGATTAAAATGTTTGCGTTTTTATATAAGAGTCCAAATAAAATATACCTAATTCTGATCTAGCACCTATGTTAGTGGCTGTCGTTTTCAGTCCTAATACTGCTTTACAAAATTTAGAATGAACCTTCTCAAAAGGATATTTTTCTGCTAATGCAAAAGTATCACAAAAAGTATTATTTACAGCAGCTCTATTAGATGCCCTAAAAGCTGACTGAAAATTATCCATAAACCAAATTTCAGAGTTGTATGTCAAAATATGTCTTATAAGAGTATCAAATAATTTACATGACAAATAAGTGGGAACAAAATTAAAATTGGACATATATTTTCTCAATAAAAATAAAACTTTAATACCTTTTTTAGACAGCCCTTCAGTAGTTTTTGTAAAATTTCTCCTATAGTTAATAATATTCCCTAGAAGTTTAAAGTCCTTAACTTCAGTCAAATATTTATCATTGAACAAGAGGGGTGGGGATTGTTTATAAATATTCTGAAAAACTAGAATTTTAGTCTTGTTTATTTGTTTAAATTTTTATTGGTAACTGTCATATATGACTTTTCAAAATTTGATAAACATAGTTAAACTACGATTACAAAGTTCCCCCTATCTCAATTGATCTTAACAGTTATTGAAGTGGATTAGGAACCCCTTTCATAAATGGCTGCATCCGCCCCTGCCAAGAATTTTGTTATTGTGTTTGTGGTGGTAGGGGTCGTACATTTGTGTTTTTTAGTCAAAAATACAATAATATTTTATAAATTGTATGCGTCAGAAACGCTTACCTGAATTAATCTTCATCACAAACACCCAATATTTGAAAGCCAAGGATGTATATCATTAAGTATCTAAACACGTGGAGACCAAACTGGACCAAAAAAAAAAATAACCAAACCAAACCCATCTAAGGTTAACTTTGCACGAGGGAGTTGAAAACTTAGTTTCTTTATCAATCATATTTTCTAAACGGACAATTTTAGAAAGTTGTGATATAAATTATATCATTAACAAAGCTCTGATTACTGTGCTGATGATACCCGCCGCGGGGGAGGGGCAAATATACTGAACTGCGGCCAAGCTTAGCGAAAGGTCGTGCAACATAATCAGTCAAACAAACTTTATTAGATTAACTCGTTAAGGAACGATCGTTTTCATTGGTCAATTCAAACCTTCGACCTCACACCTGCGAAAATAGAACACGCGTACTATAAAGCTGAATGGACTGATCAGTATTCACGTAGCCGGTCAAGGTCGTTAAAAACTTCCATCGTCGTATTCACGTACATGTATTAGCACATACTTACAACTTCTCGTCCAATCAAATTGCTTATATTTGCCTTCTAATTTTCATAGTACATACTTTTCCCGTGTACTAAGTAACTACGCATGAATGACCACAAGGGTAAGATTTCATTGTATCGTAATCAAGATATTTAAAACAAAAATTGCCACTGGCTATTTTGAAATAAAATGCTGTGTTCCAAATTAAATTAAATAGTTTGTAATTAGTTTTCACGTTGATTTTTAAATATTCTCTTATTAAAATCTTTGGATCTAAAAAATGTTTTTGACAATTGCAAATTTCTTTCATTTAAATAAAGGGTAATACATATGGTTCTTTATACCTTGATTAGAGTACAACGATATCTTAAAATTATGATAATGTATCATCCATGCAATTACTTTGTACACAAAAAGTGTGTACTATGAAACCTTGTGAAGGGGAAATTAAAGCAACTTGGTGATAATTTTTTAAACTTTCTTAAAGAAGGTGATCTATTTCGTCATGAATTGATTGATTTATTGATTATCGGTTGCTTAATTTCCAGTGGCAAATATTTCATGCATGTTCAGGACGATGTCATGAATTGAAAAACTGTGATTATGTCTGAAGATAATGTGCCAATTATATATATATATATATATAAACATGTTCTGATAAATCTTTTAGTTTTTACTTTGAAATAATAAAAAAAAAAAAAAAAACCACAAAAACTATAATCTGTGATCTATTGGTAGTTGCTTTTTAATGCCTATCTGCTAGACTATATCTATGGGGACAAACTATCTATATGTTTCAAATTTATCATAGCTTTAGTTTTACTGTGAAATTAAAAAATGTTTTCAAAACATGTAAAGCTTCCACTGCAATTTAATTATTGCCTGCTTTTGGTCAATTTATTTGGTCATCTTACCATGTAAGAAGAACATGTATAGTAAAACACCGCTTTATATCAATATACATACTTACACCAGCAGCTACCATCTTTTCATTCTGGAGTCAAGGGCCTTTTGGAATAACATATTTTACAATGATACTAGTGAGTAGATTTACAAAACTTCGTTAATGAGCTCCGTTTTACAAACACCTGTGATACAAGTAGTCAGCCAAAATAAACTATCAATAGACCAATTAAAAGATTACTCGAGTTGTAAATATGTGCTAAATTGGATAGTCTATGAAAAGGTATATACTATGAAATTAAGAGCTCGGGGCAAGCCCTTCGCTCTAAATTTCATAGTATATACCTTTTTATAGACTAACCTAGACTTAGATACAATACAAAGGTAACAAAGAAACAGGCCGGTAACAACCGTTGCCGGATAGTTTTTCTGCACGAGTAGTCAGGTGAAGGTCCGAGGCGATAGCCGAGGACCTTGACCTGACTACGAGTGCAGAAAAACTATTCGGCAGTTTGTTTCCGGCCTGTTTTTTTGTTACCTTTGTTTTGTATCTGACTTGTACGACGTTTCAAGAAAGAAGTAGTACATTTTGCATGTAGAAGAGGTATCAAAA